GATAGCTGGGTAACAGTGGGATGAGGAAGCGGGGGGAGGGAAGAGCAAAGGTTTAGCTAGTCCTGATCTTGTGAAGCCTAACAGATTTGCCCGTTTGAATGTCGGGGGTATCAGCTTAGGAGTAGCTGTACTGCAGGAAGCTGTTCATTCTAACAGCCGTGGGAACAGCCTCTCTAGTAAAGTTGGGGTTGAGCATGTAAGGAAGCCTAGATAGGTTGTGGTGGTAGGGGACTCTATTAACCCCTTAAGGACTGAGCCAAATGTACACGTTGTGATCAAAACAAAACCTTGAATATGCGCTATATGTCTCTTGAGGCTTAATTCACCTCTTTCATATTATGTGCACCCACACTTATTATATAATTTTATTCAGGGGAAACAGGGCTTTCCTTTAACATCCAATATTTAGGTATGAAACACAATTTAATATGAATTAAATATTTTAAAATGGGAGAAAATAAGAATTTGTTTTCATTTTTTTAGTTCTATGTGTCATTGTAACTGTGAATGTCAAAATACTGTTTGCTTTTACTCCAATACAATAAACATATTTGTATTCAGCGATGCCTCACGTAAAAAAACAGTACCCCATATGTACAGGTTTTATGGGGTTTTGGGAAGTTACAGGGTCAAATATAGCATGTTACATTTTTCATTTTTTTTCATATTGAAATTTGCCCGATTGGTTACATTGAATTTGAGACCGTATGGTAGCCCAGGAATAAATATTTCTCGCATGATTGCATACCATTTGCAATAGTAGACAACCCAAGGTATTGAAAATGGGGTATGTTTAGTCTTTTTTAGTAGCCACTTGGTCACAAACATATATAATATATAAAATCAGCATAAAATATATAAAAATCAACACTCAAAAAAACACACTCCAGGGACTTGATTTGAAGTTGAAGTTAGACTTAACTTTTATTCATTCCATTAAAAATTATGTCAATGTATCAGCTCCCATGTGGACCTTCATCAGGACAGACAAAGTACAAATGTGAAGACATGAGAATAAATACCCCCCAACCACATCATAATTTCCCCTTAATTGTGTAGATTGTGAGGTATCCTCATGTATTAGGCCAGAAGGGGGAGTATTTTAGTTCTCCGGTATCGGTACCCGGGTTAAAATTTGTGTTCCAGATGGTATCTTAGCAACCAATGGAATGCATGATAGAGGCAGATGTTGGCAGTAGCAGACACAGTGCTAATGTCTTGCATACAAATGCTTTAAGTATGTGGCTTACATCTATGCGCCCCTCATCGAACGGTCCACTCACCTCGTGAGGGGGAATGCAAAAGTCTTTTAATAAAGTGATGGAGAGTGAAGCTGTCTCCTAATGGGATGCAAACTAAAGTAAGATGCGTTTTAAGCAAAATATGTTTTAAGTACCGGCTCCACTAAATCACATCATGCTCAACAATCAGAGTGGGCAGATCTGTGGCTCAAGTTGAGTGATAAACATTTAAAATACTAAATATATATTTCCCACATTAATATTCTCAGGGAATATGATAAAAACAATTTGCAGAAAGCAGGGGTGGATAAAAATAACATACACCTATATCTACAATGCTGGTGTAGTATGCACCCCAAAATCAGGCTTAAAGAGGCTAGGTAAGTATAATCGTCTACATTGAACAGAACTAGTGATACAGTAAAGCTAGTTTACATATTTACAGTGGCTGCATGAAAAGGATACAATGAATAAACCAACTATATCGACTGGACTTAGTATGCCCTGGATAGCTTATAGATCCTGGATCTATAATATTACGGAGAGACATTCATGTATACGTGGCATGGATGCTTATTAATCTAAAGAGAGCTACGTAATAGACCTAATAAGAGTTAATATCTTATATTGGATTATAGGCCTGGAAACTTAATCACACCATGCAATCAATGGGGAATAAACGTAGGGCAGGCAATAGACAAAAGCCTGGGTAAGTATGTATGCTTTCTGTAATACGTCATTACAGTATTACAGAAATATGGACCATGTGAATTATTTGTTTAGGTCCTTGGGCCATACCGTGTCCAAACATTCAATTCAGAATGCCTCTTGTTGTAGAAGGCGTTTTTTTCTATCACCCCCTCGTTGAAGAGGGAGGATGTTGTCGATGGCCATAAACTTCAAGGTATGACCATGTGACAAAAAGTGTTTCGCCACTGGGAAATCAGCTTTATTTTCTCTGTACGCAATGCGAATGTTTGATCTGTGGTTTCTTATTCGTTCCCTGAGTGGGAGATCAGTTTTCCCATACTTAGGAGAGTCCACAGGGGCATTGGAGTTTGTATATAACAAAGTCCAAGGTACAGGTTAATCTGTGTTTTATTTGGTATTTCCTCCCTGTATGGAGGTGTATGAAAAATATTTCCGGTATCAATGTTTGCTTTTTGGTGTAGCAATGGACTGGATATGTTTTGACTAAAACATATTTCAAGTTCCTCCCTCGTTTGTAGCATAGCATGGGAAGATTTTGGATTCTTGGGTAGTGTAGAGTCCTTTGCTAAAAGATGCCAGTTTGATTTCAGAGTTGTCTGTAGTCTATGGGATGGGTGGTGTTGGTGGTTGGAAATACTAAGCATGGAGTATTAACTTTGCTCATTCTTGGGGGTTCTTGCTCATTCTTGTGGGTTCTTGGCTTTTATACAATGCTTTCTGAAGTGTGGAATCTTTGTATCCTCTCTGCTCAAATTTTCCAGGTCTCTTTGATCTGTTGAGCTTTCAGTGGTTCTGAGTTGTTTTGTGTTACTCTTAGAAATTGAGGGAATGACAGTGATTCTTTCAAATGTTTGGGGTGGAAGCTATCTGCTGGAAGTAAGGTGTTTCAATCTGTGGTTTTCGTGAACAATGTGTAGGCAAGTTTCATATTTTTTATATATATATTTATATATTTTTTTATATATATGAACATCCAGAAGGTCCACTCCCTCTAGACTCATCGGCATGGTAAGTTTCACTGGTGTAGGTGCTTTGTTAATCATTTCGACCATAGATGTGATTGAATTAGTGTCCCTATTAGCCAAATAAGGAACACATCATCGATAACGCTTGTAGAATAGGATATTATCCCTGTATGGTTGTAGAATGTGGTTAGATTCAAATACATGGATATAACTGTTGGCATACATAGGCGCCATTGCTGCCCCCATGGAAGTGCCAGATGTTTGTTGGTACCAGGAATCTTTAAATCTAAAGTAGTTCAGCTTTAAATAAAGTGACTGCTTCAAGTATCTCCATAATCGATGGGAGGACCTGTATATACTGTCGAGTATATGCCATCTCTATATGGAATAATCGTGTACAGGCTTTTCACGTCATGTGTAACCAGTAATGTTGTGGTTTCTGGTAGAATAATTTGATCTAAAAGTTTAAGTAGATCCGGTGTATCTTAATACATATGGGGAGTCGTACAATTGAATCTTTAAACTGAAAATCAAGTCATTTAGCCAATGGTTCTAGGACTCCACCCATAGCCGAGACTATAGATCTACCTGGTGGATGTTCTAAGTTCTTATGTGCCTTCGGTAAGTGGAGTGGATTGGCTAAAACATTTCTGTAGGTTTGTATCAATAGAGTTAGCTTCCAAACCCCTGTGTATGATTGCATAAACCTGTTGCATAATCCACGCTGTTGGATCACCCATGAGTTTTTTTGTATGTGTCCCCATCTTGCAGTTGAGATAGTAGTTTAAGTCGATAGTCTTTATAATTCAAGAGTACAATTCCTCCACCTTTTTTCGCTGGTCTGATGACAACGTTTTCGGCGTTTGCCAATGAGCGGATCATCTGTAATACCAGTAAAAAAAGAACAGAAGTGTTGCTGTTTTGTTTGCAACATAGTGTCCATATCACGTGGCATATTGCGCATAAATTTTTTTGCATCGAAAGTTGTTGTGT